CTACCATTTCCCTATACTTTTTGGTATCTTTGGAACTTGGAAACTTTTCCAAGTAAGCCTTTGGTACTCCTTAAGAATTGAGTTACAGTGGGAGGCTCAGTGTGGTAAAGCAGTTTAAAAGCATACGTGAAATCATATCAGTGGTAGTGTTTTAGTAGTTTCATTTTAATGCTCCTTACCCTGGAATTTTATGTAAGAGAAACTCCTCACAGACACTCTTTTAATCAGATACCATCGTAGATTGGAGAACTTCAGACATAAGTTCTCCATGCTTTTCTTTCTCCCATAGTAACACATTCTTTTACCTTTACTTCTATCTTCTCAGTTTGCTGTGTTATTCCAGTAGAACTGTCTCCATTTCAGGGTAGTCTTACCTGTCAGTCTGTGCTCTGAGTCATACTTTTTTCCAATTTAGAAAAGATTGATTCTGTGAATATCCATCTCATGTTAGTAAGTTCTCTCTTTCATCTCTTCCTTTTAGCATTTAAGAGTGTTTTTGTCTTATAACAGGTGTTATGATCTTACTGATATGGGGAGAAGTTCATCCACATCTTCATTGGGAAGTTACTATTTCATTCCTCACTTAATGGGCACATAAATTATTTCCAAAATCTAGCTGTTACCAATTGGCTGCTATAAACATGGGTGCACATATATCACTGTGATACAATGTTTTTAATTCTTTTTTTTTTTGTCTTTTTCGTTTTTTATTGGTACCAGGGATCAAACTCACGACTGCCTGCTTACAAGGCAGGCGCTTATGCCGCTGAGCTAAATCTCCAGCCCCTATTTTTAGTTCTTTTAGGAAGACACCCAGAACAGGAATAGCTGGGTTGAATGGGACCTCTAGACCTAGTTTTTTGAGGAATCTCCACACTAATTTCCACAGTGGTTACATCAGTCTGCATTCCCACTAACAGTGGAGAAGAGTTCCTTTTCTCCGTAGGCAGTTGCTCAATCATGAAAGTTCTTTCAAAGAGTTGAGTCTTTTTTTGGGGGGGGGGGTCTTTTTCCTTTTTTATCGGTACCGGGGATCGAACTCAAGACTGCCTGTTTGTAAGGTCTTATTGATAGTAAAGAATTACACTTCTGTAGAGATACTCTGATACCCTACTATAGGAATATGATCTGATTCTGCTTAGAAGATGGAAGACAGGGAAAAGATTGAGTAGCCTTCTGTGTGGGTTTTTTTTTTTTTTTTTTGGTGCTGGGGACCAAACTCACGACCTCCTCACACTTGCCAGGCAGGCGCTTATGCCTGCTGAGCTAAATCCCTGGCCCCATTGACCAGCCTTCTGAAAGGGGAGACATTTAGTTAGTAGCTTGAAGGACAAGGAGAAGCTACCAAGGCAGAGTGAAAGGCATATTCCAGAAAAGAATGCTTATATTCCTTAGCAAATTACTGTTATTTTTCAAGTAACTTCTACCTGGTGTGATATTAAGTAGCATTAGAAGTAGTTGTGTATGGTCTCTATCCCCAGTGGGGAGGGAATAGTTGAGAGAGAAAGGAGAGGCTGGAAAGCTTAGGCCTATGATCCAATTATGTATATGAAGCAGCATGTAAAATGCCAAATTGAGGTTAGAGAGGGATTAATAAGAGAATACAAGCTAAAGTAGTTGTAAATTATTTAGATTGAGTAAAATAGGAGGAAGGGAGACATTGAAAATAGTTGGGCATAATGATGTGAAAGCAGTGTTGACAGATTTCTTTGAAATATTTGCGTAGACCTGAGGTGATTAGCAGGGAGGGATGGTGAGGAACCAAGAGTCCAGGAGGTCAGCTAGGAAGCTTATGGAATAAGGTGAAGTAATGAGGGTCTGACATTTCTTAACTAGATTTCCATAACCAGATTCCTCAGAGCTTTCCATGCTGTTTTTAAATTTACCACCATCTGTTCTCTTCTACAAGTGGGTTTCTGTCATCACCATTCCAGTAATAGGTTTCCTTCTAAAGTTACTGGTGATCTGGCCAAATCTAATGGTAGTCTTTTGTGTTTTGCTTAATGGGAAATTACTTAAACACCAGCATAAGCACTAACATTGGAAGCACTTTTTGCCTCACAAGCAAGAATATATAAAATTTAATTATTTGCATACAAAGCAAAAGTTTCATGTTTTTGGTTTGAGACATTTTATAGTGAATTTAAAATTTGCTCTAGTAGAACAGATGAACGTGAGCACAATAACATAATCCTTACATAAATGTCTTTGAAAACTAGGGACCTTTTCTTTCTGTTTACATTTTGACTTTCTTTAAGGCTTTATTGAAGTTCTTTCTTTCCTTGTTTCAAAATGGTTGTCCATATTATTATTTCCCTTTTCTGAACTTACAGCACCCAAAGCTCAGTCTTATTCTTTGATTCATTTTTTTCTTGTATTTGTGGTTCCTGATTTGGACTATAGATATTTTCCTCCTACATAGCTCTGTACACATACACTTACAGATTCCTGTTAAATGTATAGATTCCTGTTAAACGTTAAAATTTAAAAATTTTATTTTGCTAAGACTCTTAAAGGGCCTCATTATTTACACTTGTGGAAGGGAACAGAAGGTAAAGGTGGTTTTCAGTAGGGAGTATCTGCAATAAGAATTATATTCCAGTTTGAAACATGCTCCTGTATTAAGTTTGAAAACATATAAACGTGGTACTTTGCCAGTTTGGACAACATAAAGCTCTACCAGAGATTTGATTAAGGCAAATAGGTTGATAATACGGTATAGTAATAGCCAGTGTTTATTGTGAATGTTTATTCACAGGTACACACTATGAATGAAGTATAAATAATAGTATTATCACCTCCACCCCAGTACTTAATAGTCATTAAACATTGTCTGGAAATGTTGTGAGTGCTTTATTTCTATATCTTGTAGGTACTGTTTTAATTATCTTCCTCATTTTACAGATGAAGTATGGTAGAAAAGGATTGGGAACCAAGAGATCTGATTAAAATCAGTTTTAGTTCTCCTAGGTAGTTTGAAATTGGATGAGCCTTTAACTTTAGTGTGCCTTAATTTTGCATCTTTAAATTGAGATTAGTTACAATCTCTGGAGTACTTTCCTACTCATTTGATATTGTATGATCTGTAAATATCTTGTCTGTTTATTCTCAAGTCCTTACAACTTTATGATTGGATTGGTCATTCCTGACTATTACTGTAGAATAATATGTCTTTTCTTTTTTTTTAATTTGTGAAGGTGCTATTTGGGGAAATTTAAAGTTCAGGTTTCAAAGAAATGTATATGCTAAAGAAGGAGAGTTGAGAAGATTAGGAAGGCAAAACTGAATCAGAATATCAGAAAAGCAAAATAATAATGCAGCTCTTCACTGGCAATGTAGGGAGAATCCTCATAGCTGTCTCTTAATTTATAATTGCTGTTGCCTAATCTAGTTTACCTTATTGTACATTCGTTTTCCCCAAGTTACTCCTAGACCGATATTATTAATGAACACTTATTGAATATTTTCTCTGGGCATATGTCAATGCATTTAATTTTCAAAGTAATATTTTAACCGTAGGTGATATTACTGTTTTATTTTACAGGTAAAAAAAATGCAATATTGGGAGATAATGAACATTTTTACAGTTCTGCAACTAACAGCTGCTGGAGGCTATATTTGAATTTTGATCTCACTGATCCCAAAGCCTGTCTTCTTTATTGTTAATTCTATATTGCCTCCTAAAAGTTCATATTCTATTTCAAGTATTGCAGGGTAATTTTTGCTGGGAGCCATTTGGGATGAGGGGCCTATATACAATTTTCTTAGCCAAAATTTTTAGGGGGTGCATTCCTGGGGATTGAACTCAGAGCCTTGCCAAATACTTGGTGAGCCCACTCTCACAAAGCTCCATGCTCAGTCCCAAATGCTTTCTTTTGACTAAGATGCTTTACTTTCTTTTCCCCTTAATTTTGATACCACTTACAAACCTTTTTTATTCTTCTCTGCTGTTTTTCCATGGTTATGATTCCTGTTTCTTTGATCCCAGGATATAAGGGCTTACATGTCTGCTGAAACTTAACAATTTCAGTGTAAGCTGTCAGGCTTTCTTTCTGTATTCTCATCTTTAATTCTCAAAATAGTTTTTCTAGAATATATGTTAACTCTGCAGATTTTATATTATTTTCTTCAAGTGGTAACAGTCTGAATATTTTAGCCTTGAAGATAAATATATTAGTGAATCTAGATTACTGGACATTTGCCCAAGCCTGTCATTGAGCTTGAAATGCTGCTTTTCTCTCTGGCCATTTATCTGATTTAATCTCTTTTATACTCCCAGATCTTTAATTAGTTTTTATAAGCTGGTTTCTTTGCTTTTTTTTTTAATTACTGCCTGGTACTGCCTCTCCTCCTTTTCATATGCTCACCAGTGTCCTTGACTTTGCATTCCTCTTTTCTCTTAACTCCCCCAGCTAGGTTGTCTTTTTGCTATTCTTGTCTGTGCTGGTTTACTCTTCCTACCTCCCACCTGCTCAGTATCTTTTTTTGCTCCATGCAAATTCTATTTCTCAATTACCTTTCTGACTTTATGCCTCTAGCTTACTTTTGGTACTCTTTTGTTGGTATGAGTCCCCTAAAATTTGCATAAAAGAAATTGAGGTACAGATGGATAGTCTTAAGTTTTTAAGGGCTTGTGGTAGTTTGGTGAGTAAAGAGCTGTACTGCAGACCAAGTTTTGTGTACCAAGATCTTGTTGCCCTATTAAAGTGGCAGACATTCTTTTGCAGAAAGATTACCATCAACACCACTTTGTGTATATGTATTATAAACACTTTCAAAATGTGTTTGTTATGTTTTGAAGAGAAGCAAATTAAGAAAAAAGATTGGAAATGTTGATCCTTTAAATACTTGGTTTGGTCATTAACATACTCAATCTTTTTCCTCCAGATTTAACTCAGACTTTCCCTCACTTTGGAACAACTAGATTTGTGAATATTGGATTCTTTTGAGAAGCAGGGGTTCTTTTATTGATACTGACTAAGGAGTCTATTTACCTTCAGGATGACATCTGAACTGGAGAGCAGCCTAACATCTATGGACTGGTTACCACAGCTCACCATGAGAGCAGCCATCCAAAAATCTGATGCGGCACAAAATGCACACGGAACAGGAATTTCTAAGAAGAATGCACTCCTTGACCCAAATACAACTCTAGACCAGGAAGAAGTTCAACAGCACAAAGATGGGAAACCTCCATATAGTTATGCCAGCCTCATTACATTTGCTATTAATAGCTCACCCAAAAAGAAAATGACTTTAAGTGAGATTTACCAGTGGATTTGTGATAACTTCCCATATTATAGAGAGGCTGGCAGTGGTTGGAAGGTAAGGATTTTATTTAAATTACTATTTTTGTGCATTAAGTAATGATAACAGTATTGAGTGCTGATGAAAGTAAAGCTTTGAGGAAGCTTATATAATTGAAGATGAAATTCTGATTGCTCTTCGTTTTTAGGATGTCAGAATGGAATGTTTAAATTTAGATGATTAAATATTTGGTAAACCATTATTAGAGTTTTATTGTATTATTAGACTAAGAGCAGACAATAAAAACAGTCAGAATATTATCTCCAGTAGCTCACAATGCCAACAGTTCAGATAAGTTGCTAGTGAGTCAAGGTAAAAAAAACAATATGGTGGTGTGACTAATACTGTTTCATCATTCATATATTTTTAAAAAAACTTTATTTTGAGTGAATTTTAGACTTACAGCAGTTACGTAAGTAGTACAGGAAATCTCTTGAACTGTATACTTCATTAGTTTCCTATAATGTTAAGACTTTGCATAGCAATAGAATAATTAAAAAACCAAAAAAATAATATTGATGTATTATTGATTAGATGTTACTGTTTTTCCCTTCCCATATATAGTTTATTAGTAAAGTGGTACCTCAATTTATGAACTTAATTTTTTTTGTGATTGTGGAAAAGATGGCCATATTTGTTTGTATGGGAAAGATGGATGCGGTTGTGTTTGTCATCTGATGGAGAGTTTACAAACAACAGAATTTTACCAATGCTTCTGTTTGCAGTCAAATTGTTTGCAAACAAAAGCATTTATGAATTGGATACCAGTGTGTGTTATGTATTTTTTTTTTTTTACAAAGTACTTGGTTTCATTGTGGCTTTTAAATATATACATATAACATTTTTATCATATCCATCCCTTCAGACATTAATATTAACTACTGAATAAACCATAGCTATTATTGACATTTCATCAGTTTTGCCACTTACGTTCCAGGATCCAATCCAGAATCTATATTGCATTTACTTGTCATGTCTCCTTAGACTCCTCCAATTTGTAAACGTTCTTCAGTGGCCCTTTTTTGGGGGATTCTTTTATGACCATGACACTTTTGATAAGTAATTGTTAGATATTTTGCAGTTTCTTAGATATTTTGCAGTTTCTCTCAGTGTGGATTTGTCTGATAACTTTTCATGATTAGATGGAGGTATACTGCATTTGAAGGGATGATAATATACTCTCTGCATGTCACATGGTACACAGTGTCAGTATGTCCTATTGGTAATGCTAATCATGGTTCTCTAGGTGATGTTTGCCAGGTTTCTTCACTGTATCACTGGAGAAGATACTTTCTTTGAGTGCCTGCAAATATCTTGTTTCTTCTTAAACTTTTGCCTGTTTTAGCATTCATTGGTAGGTAATAATTCAAGAAAAGTGTACTGTTTTCCAGTAATGACTTTTTCCCCATTTCTTTTATATTTATTAATATTCTTTCATAAGAGTTGTTTTGCTCTTCTTTGTTCTTTTATTTGTAATATGTTGTACTTAGGATATTTATTTTATCTTTGTGCTGTCACTGTCATTCAAATTGTAGCTTTGACCATTGTAAACTAGTACAGGTTGGTCCTATGCTTTTTTTTTAATTTGATGCCGCCTTCTTTTGTGGTACCAAGAGATGTTCTAGGATCACCTCATACCTTCTTTGTCCCAGCCCTGGAATCAACCTCTTCTTTAAGAAACTGATTAATATGGGGCTGGGGATTTAGCTCAGCAGCTAAGTGCCCGCCTTGCAAGCATGTGGTCGTGAGTTTGATCCTTGCTACCGGTCAAAAAAAAAAAAGAAACTGATTAATATACCATTATATTAGTTAGCTTATGTTGTGCAACAAATAATACAACTTACTTTGTTTTGTCTTAGCACGTTTTATTCATTTCTTATGTAGCATTACCCAGTTGTGTGCTATGTGACATATATCTGTGCATGTGTATTCATGTGGAGAATACAGTTTGAGGTATACATTTTCCAGATGATATTGTTTATTTTCTCTTAATCCTTCCTATTTTAATGTGTTTGTCTTATCATTTGATTACATTTATGAAAGACATTTGCTGATTGATCATGTGCTATTTGCTGTGACAGTTAATCACACGTCTTATGGGAAGGAATTGTAGCACACTAAACTTTTTGTGTACCTCTTTGTGTTTTCCATGCCTTAGCACACAGTGCTTTCTTTATAGTAAGCTTCAGTACATATGGTTGGAACTACATTATGATGACTACTTTCAATTGACCTATCTACTTTGTTTTGTTATTTTCATCTTATGCTCATTTTTCTTGTTCTTTCCTACTTACTAGTTACCTTGAGAAATAAACACTTAGATGTTTTGCTTTTGTTGTCCTCTTATTTCTCCTTAGATATTCTTTTGCCCTTCGTTGAGTTGGCATTACCCTGTTACTTTAGCTCATATATTAAATATGTATCTCTTTTTTGTGTATCCACATACCTTATTCAAACAGTACTGTAAAACTTAGGGGTGTTTTCCCTCAGAGATCTTATTTCAATAGCTTTTGTTTCTGAAGGTGAATATCCAAGTGGTAGTTGGATTTTCAGTTTTCTGTGTATCAGGAGCTATTCTGAGGGCTTTGTATCATTGTCTTAAACCACAGAGTAGTTTGTAGATATTATTGTTCACATTTTAAAGTTAAGGAAACTGAAGGTTTGAGAAGTTAAGTAACTGTTGAAATTCTCATCTAGAAAATGGTAGAGTCAAGATTTGGTGCCAGATATGGTAGATTTGGAGATTTCATTGCCCATGTTCTTAATCAGTAGTAAAAACAAAATTTATTGAATTCAATTTGACAAAATAAACTCTTTTAATTGGCTCTCATAATATAAGAAGTGATTGTTAACAGTATACTTTAGGTAAGTGCATTTTACACACTGTCAGTGGAGGGGAAAAAATTTTTTTTTGTTTATCTTTTTGAGACAGAGTAGCTCGCGCTAGCCTTGGATTTGTGGCACTCCTCCTGAGTGCTGGGTTTATAGGCATTCATCACCGTGCCTGGGATTAATGTTTGACCCATTAAATAAGCCATTTGTGGTGCTTTGTCAGAGCTTTGTCTTTACTCCTAAGCATTATAGCTTTCTTTGGTCAGATTTGGGATGAGAGAGATTTTGATGACCTTGTTTGGCAATGGAAGAATATGATGATAAGAGAGTAGAAATGGCTAAACTTTGAATAAGAAAGCCCACCAGAATTCATTGGTCTTTGCTTCTGTCATTTATTTATTTGTAGTGCAAGAGATAGCAACCAGGACCTTGGAGATGCAAGAAAGGGCTCCACCCCTGAGCTATATTCCGGCCCATTTCATGAGTCTTTATCAGTGGCCGTAAACATAATAGGTGTAAATGCCTGACAGGTGAAGTAATGTAAAAAAGAACCAAACTGAAGAGTGCTTATCTAGTGTGAAAGGAGTAATTTTGTTCTCATTAATTCTTACCTTTCAGGACATATGGCACAATAATTCCAATTTTTCTCCCAACAGAAGCAAAGCATCTGGATTTTTCTGTGTAATTTCTTAATATTGCCAATTCTAGTTTTCTTAAATACTTACTCTATAGGTACTTAAAACATAAGTCTATTGTCTGTATTCAGCCTGTAGACTACTAATTGGGAATCTCTGATCTAAATCGTGTTCTCTTTTCAGCTAATTTATAGTTTTTCACTTACTAGATTGAAAAGATTTTCTGTTTGTTCTTGTGCAGTATTGTGCTATGCTTTACCCATACTAAGAAGCTTAGCACAGGGCTTCTGTTTCAGTTAACTTTTTTCTCATTGGTGAGACAAAATACCTGACACCCAAAATTAAGGAAAGGTTTGTTTAGCTCACAATTTGTTGAGGTTTCAGTCCATAATCATCTGACCCCAAGCGTGGCAGCAGTTCAGGCAGAAAAGACTACGACAGCAAAATCAGCAAAAGTGGGGTGGGATGAGCAATCCTCTTTCCCTTTCTTATACTGTAAGCAGACTACCTGAGCTAGGGCAAGTGTAGGACTCACACCATCTTAGTGCCCTCCTTTTGTATAGGATGAGAATGTTTACAGAGTAAGAGCCTGACCCTTTACTGAGACACTTAGCTAAACTTGTAAACTTCTCAAGTTGACACAATTTATCAACCATTACAGTGCCTAAGGGAGTCCATAATCTTTATTGGGTCAAGAAGGATACATGTAAACTAATTATAATGTTGTATCAAAAGCTGTTTAATAGAGTAATGTGGAAAGCTATTCTATAAATAGTTGACTGGGCACACCTGTGTGTGGGTCCATAACCAGTATGTCCATTATTTAAGCAATCTAGTAAAGATGTTAACTGAGGGTACAGTCAATGAGAGGTTATAAGGGAGTATGATGAAGTTCTAAAGTGAATGGTTTCATGTACAAAAACCAAACTGCACAAGATGTTCTTCAAAGAATCAGCCAGTGGGATCTCTTATTAAAAAGTTTTTGTATACCAAAAGAAATCACTAACAGAGTGAAAAGACAACCCACAGAACAGGAAAAAATTTTAGCCTCTGTCCCTCGGACAGAGGACTTCTGTCTAGAACATATAAAGAATTGAAAAAAAATCAGGCCCCTCAAATTCAAAGACCCAGTCTAAAAATGGGCATCTGAGATGAATATACATGTCTCAAATGAAGAAATAATAAATGGCAGATAAATATATGAAAAAACATCCAACATTATTGAATTCAGATTCTGCCTCACCCCAGAGAGAATGACTGTCATCGAGGAATTAACCAGTAACAATTGCTGGTGGGGCTGTGAGAAAAAAGGAATCCTTTTCCACTGTTGGTGGGAATGTAGAGTTGTACAACCACTGTGGAAATCATTGTGGAGATTGCTCAAAAAACTAGGATTGTATGCCTCCTATGACCCAGCTATTTCTCTTCTGGGTATTTTCCCAGAAGAATTAAAAACATCATACAACAGCTATATATGTGCACCAATGTTTATAGCAGCACAATTTGAACCAGCTAAATGTTGGAAACAATCTAAACACCCACGATCCGAGG